GTCAGACCCTCCTCTTATGGGAGAAAGCAGTGAAGAAAGGGCTGAGGGAGAAGAACTGGCCTCAAGAAAATCATCATCATTATTCCCTCTCCAAAACCTTAAACCTATTCAGTCTCACTTGATTTCATCAAGATACTGCCGAGGCAAGGGAAAAGATTCCAAAAATAGTGTCAGCACCAGGACTTACTTGCACTGCAACATATTCCTGGACACTTCCCTCCTGATCTATCCCTTGTGACAGGAGATCCAGAGCATCTCCAGGTCTCAGGAGCAGGCTGTGGCACTCAGCATCTGACACTGCAGCATCCCCGAGTTCTGGGATGGAACATCTCTCCTGGAGTGACCCCTGGGCCTGGTGCTCTGCAGGGGACTGACTCTGGAGCACTGATCTCCACTGGGACACCCATCATGTTCCCAGCTCCTGCACACTCAGCACAGCTCACAGCAGCCCAGACAGGAACTCAGAGTTCCACTGTCCTGCCACCTCTCTTTTACCTTCCCAACAGCTCCTGTTTGTCTTCCACCAGCAAAACCCACCCTCAGCACACCCCGGTGCTTCCAGGCTTCCTGCCCCTTTCTTGGCTCTGGTACAACACCTTCAAAACCTGACACCAAACCTGCTCATTGTTTCCAGCACTCACTGCATTAAGTGTAAGGAACACTGCTTAGGAACTGTATCTTGCCCTTTTTCACTGTCCCTCTGCCCTGCAGAGACTTTTCCCATTCCTGCTGACACTGCCCACCACGGAACCTCAGCTCTGGGACAGGATCCCGGTTTGGTTTCTCTAAGGAAAGAATATGCAAGGAAAAAAAACCAACAAAAAATCAAAGCAATTGCCTTACTCCTTCAGCAAATACTGGGGGGTTCCTCATGTACAAGAGCTTTATTTCTGTTCCTTCTGCATTCAAAGCAGGAGTCCCACCTCGCCGTGTGCCAGGCTCAGTGGCTGCACAGGGAATACGACTTCACACGCAGGGAGTTGGTCCGAGTTTGTTTGGGATTTCCAGTACAAAACACTCATTCCTGCTTTATTGTGTCGTGGCCATTCCTTTGTCATTCAACCAGGGGAAGCTGGACTGAAGCACAGGGTGCAGGGTGGGCACGTGACACAAAGTGCAGCACATCCCCAGGGAGGCATCGAATCCAAACTCTGCCTTGGGATGAGAAGAACTTTAGTGTCTCCTCTGTTATATTTAAACTTGCAGTGAGATTCCAGATTACACTAATTTCCCCCTGCTATTCATAACAATAATTAGCAATAATAATAATGAAAGGGTTTATTATTTCTGTTGTAGGAAAGCAAGGAGTACACCATGGAGACAGAAGAAACTGGAGCAGTATTTGCAAAATAAAGCAGTAAAACACATTCTGCTGCTGAGAGCAAAGCCAAGGCTGAGCAGAGCACAGAGTTCATGGAATGATGAGGCAAAACAGCTCTAGGAGATGTGGGAAGGCTGTTCCAGAGGAACAGCAAACAGGTCTCAGCCCTGCCCAGGTTTATCTGTGATGCCCAGACACGACCACAAGCACCAGCACAGCCACCTGAGAACCCTTTTGGAGAGACACAGAGCCCCCAGAGGTCTGGTTGCTGGGGAAGGCAAATAAAACTATTTTTGACCTAAGATACATTTCTGTAATACAAAAAGATTTTTCCATAGCAGGAGTTTGATGACTTCACATTCCAGAAGTCAATAATCTGAACTCACTGTTCTAGGAGTACCCTGAGCACAGTCCTTGAAAACAAACCCTTGTCTCCCATAACATCAACAGCATCCACTGCTTACAATTTTTCCAAGGGGGAAGACTGAGATGCCAACAGCCCTTTAAGGAAACTGTCTCCTTCACATCCACACTTGTTCATCTGACAGTCCAGCCACACATCAGGATGAGAGCCCAAACACAGACCGCTCTGATAAATCCAAGATGACAGACAACAAAACAGGAGATGTAGAAAGAAACACCACGATTGATTTTTAGCCGAGCAAATATTCCCCGGGTTGTTGCACTGCAGGGCTTGGTTCTGTACCACAGATATGAGTTCTGAGCAGCTCCAAGGCACCACTGCTGCTCAGTGTGCAGGATTGCAGACACTTATTTACTTCACCATCCATGAAAGGCAAAAAAAAAAGGCTTATATATTTTAAAATTCTCTAGCACTGAAGTTTCTGAGGACGGGCAGAGGAACATAAGGGAAACAGCTTTTCCAAGAGAGAAAAGAGGTCAGAGAAGGGAGTTTTTCCCCAGAATGGGAATGATCTCTTCTTGACATAGTCCTGGACCGTTTCCATCCCCCGCAGGCATTTTTGCTTATAATTAAATCTATTTTATCTTCCGAAAATATAACAGTGAAGAGTGGCAGGGACAAGGGGCACAGAGATGGTGAGAGACAAGAGATGGCTGTGATAAAGAGAATAAATGTAGTAGTAGTAATAATAATAATAATAATGTAATTACTAATAATGATAATAGTAATAAATGCTGTGATGAGAGAACACGAATCATGGTCAGGACTCGAAGGAGACAGGGATACAGGGCTGTGTTTGCTTGGAGCACACGGCAGCACCACACAAGAGCTCCTGACAAGGAGTGACTGACAACACATCCCACCACCAATGTCTGCAGAGAACTTTAAAGCTCTTGGTCTTGGGGACCACAAAGAACAAGTAGAAAGAATCTCAGCTCAGTGTTTGAACCTTTCCCCACAGTGTTTCTATCTGACTCCAGAGCTGATGGTTTTCCCAGCACTCACACACCCGTGTTCTTTGCAGAGGTTAAAAACCCAGGTGAGGGCCCAGACTGACCTGCCCAGTGGCCAAAGGCTGAGCAGAGCCTTGCTTGCAAAAGCACAGCTTCTTTTCTTTTAAATAAATCAAGATTAAAGCAAACACCGGGTCTCTGCCTGTGTCAGCTGGGACACTGCCGAGCCCTGCCCAGGAGCCTGGGAAAGGAGGGTTATCAACCAGCCTCTCACAAAGCAAAGGCACCTCATCTCTGTGAGGCCACAGCCAACTGAGGGCCTGAAACACAGCACCCAAGTTTTGATTGCAGCAGCAGAAGCCCCAAAACTCTGTGCCAAGGGGTGTTTGTGCTCCAGAGAACACCCCACCCCACCCCACCCCTGCTGGTTTGCTCTGCCTCTAACACCCCTCTCCGTGTTCTGCTGGCTGGATCCTCCTCCCCGTTTCCCAGCACTAATCCCATGCCCCAACAGGTTTTTCTCCCCAGAAGTTAAAGGGTAAAAGCAGACACGAGTCTCAGAGCTGAAAATCCTGCTGGCTGTGCAAGTCCTGACGTGGGCATTTCTCCATGACTGGGCTCCCAGTGCCCGGGGTGCCAACGGAGGCCTGTCAGCTGGGATCAGCCCAGGGACTGCCCTGGGCACCCACGGACCAGGCACAGAGGGATGAGCTCAAATCCACCCCCTGAGAGCTCTACAGAATAAAACCAGTAATTTCACAAGGAACCAGAACAAAGGGAGCCACAAACATCTTTCCCAGCACAAACTGATGCTACATTAGGCTTCTAAAACAGGGGTAAAGCGGAGCGTTGTAAAATGCACAACTTCAAAATCTCTCCTAGTTTGTTTTCGTGTTTATTTTAAATTATGTTTATCAATCATGTAAGATTCCAGAGGGTGCAAACAATGAATAATCCACTGGAAATTAATCCTGCACGTTGGTGCCAGAGTTGTAAAGGTAATAAATCATCAATCAGCAGCACGGGACCGCAGCATCTATTTCATGCACGAAGCAGCACTTCATCATGGTAAATTTAGCTGTGTCTCATTAAACTGACTGCAGGCTCTGGCCAGCCAGTAAAACCTGAATAGCTTTTCACATTATATTCCTCAGAGCTCAAAATAAATCAAAAAGTCTCAGTTTCATGTGTCTGTGATCTTTAGAAAATGAATTAACCGTTGTGACTACGGAGCGGCTCAGCAAGTGCACAGTTAGTCTGAGGAGCAGGATTTCAGGGATAACCTTCCCTCAGCCTCCCTGGCTCCAGAACAATCTTATTAGAGATTAAAAACCTTCATTCAGTCACCGTGCAGCCAAGTGGGTTTGGTTTGTTCATTTGCAGAGAGTGGTTTTGTTTGGGTTGGGGCTTTCTTGGAGTGGCAGCGAATTATTCTGTACCAAGAGCAAAGCACAGTCACAGCACAGCGGCCACATCCTGCTCCTCCAGAGATCAATGGCAATACTCCTGCAAGAGGATCAAACTGTGTGGGATCAATTCCTCATTCAAACCCATTTCTCCTCCCCACCAAAAAAGAAATTAAAGACATTTAAGCATTTGCCAAGTCCCTCTGTCCCTTCTTTACCAGCCAGTGCTTTTCTGCCCTGTTAATGTTCTAAAGGATGTTCTACCTGTGCCCAGCTGTGCCAAGGTTTTGTCCCAACCACGCCTGCCTCCCTCACTTTGCACACACTGATCCTTCACACTTCAACTGGGGTGGGAAGCAAAGGTTTAGGGGAAGAGTTGTCTCTGCTCTTTTCAGTCAGACCTTTACGGCCCAGAACAGTGCTAAGGTACCTTAATGAATTTAGGGAGCGTTGCTGATTTACCCTCTGGATTCTGGGCTCACCATTCCAACAGGTCTGTTCCTGGGATGAACAGAGGAATAAATGCAAAACAGCAGAACCTCAGCCAAGGGCTGCACAATCCTGGACTTCTCTCTCCCCACAACTTCAACCATCCCACTTCTCCATCTAGTTCTGTTTTGCTACAAATCAGTGAAAAGCAACTCCTTTAGAGAAAAAAAAGCTCCAAACCACAGCCAAGATCACACAGTAATCGTGATTTTTAACGTGTCAGTGGCTAAAATCTGCATTTTCAAGGAGAACAGTGAGCAGTGTGTCTCCTTAGCAGGCAAACACTGCTGGCCCTGCACTGTCACCCAAACCATGGCAGAAGGAAACAAAGAATGATTCCAGTCTCCAGAAATGGAATCACAGATTGTGACAGAACAGCTCAAGTGCTGCTCACACCCTGTTGTAGCAGCAGGCAGAGCCTGGAGCACGGCAAGGACGGCTCTCAGACTTCCAGGATACTCATTTATTGCAGAGAGCAGGTCTAATTCCCTGCCCTGGGTACAGTAATGGATTGGCAACACTTGTCATAATTCAATTTTCCCTCTTACTGTTGAATCTCAGGCAGCCTGTGTATCTGAGGATGGAGCTTGTTGGTACAGCTGCAATATAAGCTCTACATCACCACACTGAGCACCTCCTTGCACTGCCCTATCCCTCTGAAACAGGTCTGGAATTTCCCCAAAGCAGCTGCTCATCCAACCTGGGGTTCTGTAGAAAAGCGTGGAAGGAAGGGGGTGCACCTTACCATGAAATATCCCACAGTACCTTTGATTCATGGTAAATTTATCACAATTATCATTTAGACAAATGGAGAGATTAAAGACACTTAAGGTTATAGTTAGGAACGGTCCTAAGGCTAAAACTAAGCATTAAAAATTCCTCAATACATCTTTCAAACCTCCTACCTTTGTAAGGCTATTTAGCCAAGTGACTTGATAATGATGAAACAAAAAACAAACAAGCAAAAACTCGTGTTTGATGCAAAAATTGCAGGTTAACATGCAAGTTATACAGTGCTTTCTATCTATGTAACATATAATTAAATGATTATCAAGCAATGCATGGCAGCCTCTGTAAGTGCAGTGAATGCAGTGCCTTTAATTAATCTGGTCTGATAATGGGTGTGCAGATGGACAGTCCTATTTGTGCAGCTGAGTGAACAGTGTCTATTTGAATTAAACGAGACAGGTGGCCCCTAAATTAACTGCTGCCAGGTATGGTCACACATACAGTGAGCCAGCAGACTCTTCCCCCATCCAGCCCAGCTGAGATCTTTTTTTCAAGCTCTTAAGCTTGAGAAGCTCAGGCACCTGTAGGAACTTCCTCGTGCCAGGAACTTCCTGTGCCACACTCACCTGGCGGCTCTCTGGCATTCCAACAGGGACTAACAGCAGGAACCAGGAGGAACTCCCAGATTCCTTTTCGAGGATTCTGGTCAACAGTACCAGCACTGTGGATTTTAATCTCACATTAGAGTTTTAGCTGGTTTTTAATGTAATTTCTTTTTCACCAGCAACAATAATCAAAGGACTCGCAGTAACGACTTTCAGAAATCATTAAGATTAATTTAGTATAAAGTGGATAGAAAACATGTTTTGCTTTCCCCTTTTTAAATAGGAAAGCTCAGACTTAGCAGCAGAGTACAACTAACACAGACTATTGAACAATGTTGTGGCAGCAGTTGTTTGAAACATTAAATATTTCGTAACAAAAGATTTCTGCCTTCCACTACAGAGAGGAAGACTCCTGCTTTAAAGAAAACTCTGCAGGGGAGGGGAGGGCATACAAGAGAAATTCGGATTTCTACACCATCCACTCTCAGGATTGCCAGACCTCCATGTCCAATCACAAGGGAAGACTGGCAGCAGGTCCCTCCAGGGCTCAAGACACCAAAAGCCACAGGGAGCTCAGAGGTGCTACAGAGGCAAAAACGCAGAGCAGCCACTGGGAGCTGGGCAGGATCAGCACCACACAAGGGTGACACTGTGACAAATGTCCTGGTTTCACCTGAGAGCAGAGAGAGGTGGGCAGGACACCAACTGATACCTGCACTGACTGAACAGCTACAGTCAGGCACAAACCCCTCCAGCCCCTGCACCCTCAGAGAGGTGATATGCAAGCAGTCACTACCTACAGCATTTCCTGCCGTTGCACATTTGGAAATGCTGGAGCTGTGGTTGCCCTGCAATCTGATCCTGCTCTCCCACTCCTCCATTTTCTGGAAGCAGGGATACTACTCAAAAGCAGGGCAAATTTGACACAATCCAACTTTGGGTAACTGGATTACGACATTTTCCCTTCCTCACATATTTTTTTCCAAGCCCTTCACTTTACAGCCTGTTCATTCCTAGATGTAACCCTGACTCTGTCGAACCTCAGCTACTTTCTTTCCCTCCAAGCCCCTCAGAAGCTCTTTTCTGCCCAGCTCTACTGCCTGTGCTCACTGGGTGTGACCCCAGTCCCTCAGCCTCAAACACAGCCACGAGAGCCATCTCCACATCCCAGGGATGTTTCCCTAGAGGTGCCAATCAGCTTCTGAACCCACGGCAGGAGAGAGGAGAAAGGAGATCCTGTTCAGTCCGTCCTTCTCCTTCCCTTCCACTTCCAGCAATTGTGCACTGGCTGCTCCCTCTGTCCCTCCCAGGGAGGGAGCTCTGCCAGGGCAGCTCCTTGCTCCTCCCCCGGAATACATCTCCAAGTCCCAGCTCCTGTTTTAAGACACCACTTAAACCCACCCTGCTTCTTGAAGCCCCTGAACTCGGTGGGAAAATGCAAGTCCTGAAGAACATCCCCCTTCTGAGAAAGGGCATTTCTCAGAGCAGTGACATGGGGGTGATGCCCAGCACATGCCCTGCCCTGGCAACCTCCTGCACTTCAGGGGACCACACTTCTGGAGAAGTGTATTTAACAGGCCAATTAGCCTCTCACTAATCATCTCTCACACTGGGTACCAGTCCAGCAATGGAGACAAAAATATACAGAATATTCCAGTTATTCTCCTCCTCTCCCTTTTCCAGCTCTTCAGACTCAGACACGTTTCCAGTTTCCCCTCACTGTATATAGATGAATGTGCTGCTGTTTTACATTTTCAGTGCCTGCTCGTGGCTCCAGCTTCCCATGGCTCAGGCAGGAGGAACAGCATTGCTTGGGAATTGTGAGCACCAGACTGCACACAAACAGAGATGTGACCAACCACCACGTGAGGGTTCTGGACACTGCATTAGAGGATTCCATGTCCACTGACTGTCAGTGATATCCCAAGAGTTCAGCTTTGAAATAAAACTACTGCTTTGACCCTTTCAAAATACCTGGGAAGTGTTTTGATAAACTATTTAATTTTTTGTACACAATTATCACTCTTACTTTACTTCTTCAGATTTCTAACTACTTGCTGCCCATTGTTCTTATCTGGGGTTCAGTTTAATTTCTTGACCTCCATCCACTAAAAATTTGCAATGACAGAAGCGTGACAAGTCCTGTGCTGTAGCTATAAAACCAGTGAAATACATTAGGAATGCTTTTACAGGAGAAAATTATATGGCTCTGTAGAAAACTTTACAAGCAAAGATATTTTGACAAGTGCTACCTCAGAAGTAGCACCATATGTTGCTGCACTTCAGCCCGAAAGACAAAATGCCTGTAAAATGAAAAGCAATGAATTTTTTCCAATTTACTGCCCTGAGAAGTTAAAGATATGCACTTATTTCAAGTACCAAGTAATCCGAGCAATCTAATTAGGAAGGAGATAATTAAAAGACTAAGGGGTTGCTAAATCACGCTGGGGTCACACAACCTGGTGTGTGCTCTAGTTTATAATGACAGCGGTCCCGGTGCTAATGGGTCTGTAAAGCTGGGCTCAGATCGGGCTGTTAAGCCGTGCTCAGAGCCCATCTGAGCAGAGCAGGGCCATTAAAGCCTGGTTAAAGCCTGGTTAAAGCCTGGTTAAAGCCTGGTTAAAGCCTGGTTAAAGCCCGGCTGCCTGGCACGGCAGGAGCTGCTGGAACTGCAGTGACTGTGCTCACAACCACCGATGGACACCAAGGGCCAGATGACCACCCTGCCAAAACACCGTTCTCGGGTTTTTAAGCTCCGGAATGTTCAGTTTTAAATTTTACTCTGATGAAAGGTGAGTACCCCTTTGAATGGTACCAGCTGGCAGCCTGAAATCCTCGGCTGATAGCTGCCCGTGCCTCTCAGTCCTACCAGCATCCTGATTTCCCAAGACGGCTCCAGCTACACAACTGTTCTGCAACAGTAGAAACAAGACATTAAGATAAAGCTTCCTCTAGTAAAGCCATCACAGCACTTCAGCTGTGGATTCATGGCTTTCCGTGCAAGGACACTTTCAAGCCCGCCTGTAAATGCAAAAGGCACATTAACAGCTTCTAATAGGACTGCAGCACGCACACAAAAGGGAATTAAAAATAGCTTTGTTTCCCACTGGCCGGCTTAGCACAATTCAGGAAACTCAGGAAGGAAGGAAACATTGCCTTAAAAGTTGATTTTGAAAGGAAACACATTGAAAATGTTTGTATCAAGCTGGTTGTTCACAAAGGTGTTTTCTAGGCGTGTGAGTAACGGCAGCCCCAGTTTTTACACCACACTCAAAACAGACTAAGCCAGGAATAAAGCTGTTAAAAAACTGGCATGATGCAACAGAATAATCAGCAGCAAACACTCAGGAAAGCTGCATGTAAGGTTTAGTGATTTGAGGCTGCTGAATCCTGCCTTGTCATTTGTTTAGCTGTTCCCACTCGGGGTGACAATGACAATATTTGCGTTGTTGGCACGCTGTTTTCAGAACTATTGATAAAAAGCTCCAGGTAGTACCCAGGCATTTACTCAGGGCCACAGCACATCCAGAGCTCTTCACACCCCCCCCCAAGGTCTCGCCTTCACAAAGACATTTGTCCTGGTCACCAGGGCAGGGTTCAATCCATGTCCCACATGTTGATGTCATCCCACGGAACACGCGGGAGATCTGTGAGTTACTCCATGGGCAGCTGAAAAGCCCAGGCCCTCTGGTCAGGGCTGCTTTCTCTCCTCACAGTCACTCCAGGCCGGTCCCAAAGCCCCGGAGGCTCCGTTACTGCCCCGTTACAACCTGGAGCAAGGACAAGACTTTCTGGTTGCTTTCCATGGCAACCGAGGGAGCAAAGAAAAGCAGCACCATCCTCCTCTCCTGTAGGTACCTCGGTCCCCACCCCTGAGGTCACAGCCTTGCCTTGGACCTTTCAGAAGCTCACAGGGCTCACTGAAACTCAGAAAGAAGCTTCTGCAGCACGAAGGTTTTGACCCAACAGACTGGGCCCGAAAAGAAGGGCTGTGCTGCAAAGGCAGTTTCCAGAAGGTGCATGAATAGGTTTAGTCTGAAGATCAACATGTTACAGACTTTCAGTCTTTCCCTCTGTCCACGAATTCAGCAGAACTTAAACACACCACAGACACACCAGACAGGTATCACTGACCATTTATTGTGCTGGCTGCCAGATCTGATACATGCAGGACACAGGATCAGATGATTCCACGGCACTGGTGCCACAGCACAGGTTGAGGGAGCCCCCTGAGCCATGAGGAGGCAGAGGATGCTCAGATCTCCCATCCTATGGGAACAGGCATTAGCAAACATGCCTTATCTACCCCCAAAATCTCACCCCTCCACACTGTCAGCCTCTCACACCTGAGTACCACACTGAGGGGCAAAAACCCAGTCCAGGAAGGCTCAGTGTTTACAATTAAAATGTTCCTGGTTTCCTGGGAAACAGCACTTCCTAGTAAACAGAATATAAACACTATCTGGATTTTTCTCATCTCAGGGAGTGGAGATCTACTTGTCACTTCATCTTCCATTATAGATCCTTTCCCAAGAGCTTCCAGAGCCTCTTGCTCCCCAGGCTGTCACCTGACTGCCTCTTCACAGGCAATATCCTGTTTCCCCTGCAATGAAGACAATGAATATCTAAAAATCCTACAGGCAGGACTAATATCTAACGTCACTTGAGTGAAAAATCCATGTGCCAAGTGCATCCCTACTAAGCACGAGGCAGACACAGCCAAGGTTTGGTACATTTAAACTACAGAACTTTCCATGTAGATAAATTCAAAAGGGATTTTGCTCTCAACACCAACAGAAATTCTCAGTCAAACATTCTTCACTAATCCTTCAAATCTCCATTTTCCAAAATGCTATTGGAATCAACTGTTGGGTTTCTAAGTGAAAAGTAAAATCAAGTAAAAACCCCATGGATCAAGAGAGGTGGAGTAGGACATGTGGCCCAGGAAAATGACTTGTGGCTTCAGGGCCTGAAGGACACGTTTCCAGTTGATAAGCCTTGACTTGTCCTCTAAGTACAAAGAATGCACTTTGCTGATTTGGGGCTGTTGTAGAGTTATCAGGAATGTGGGACAAGCAAATCCTGTTGTGCTACATCTCTTTCCGGACCTCCCCAACCATCTTGTCAGTATTCCAGGGGTCTGCAGCTGGATGTACTTGCAGTTCTGTGATCAATACAAGGAGCCAACGCTGTCCAACCCATTCTGGACAAAGCCAGGATGATGAAGTGACTTGACAGGATAAAACCATGAGATCCATGCTTCCAAGAGTCTGACCAGTCCCTTCCATGCTGCCAGGCAATCCAGCAATTCATTTTTACCAGCCTTAATACAACATTCCAGTATGCTCAAAAGGGACAAAATCGTCCAGGTTTATTCCATTCACGGGGAAGGTAAAACACACAAATCCCAGTGGCTTCGTGCTGGAAGTAGCACTTATTTTAATAAAAGCTCAGGATGCTTTTGTCCTCCTGGTTGTCCAAAATATTTGCACGTGCTATGGTTGTAAGTGGTGAGAATGTAGCATTCAGCATTATGGAGTGGAGCGCAGACCAGGTGATGCAACAACAGGAATAAATCAAAAGGTCATTTACAGAGGAGACATAGATTCTGGCACCTTCTGCTGTTCAGTTAAGACTGAAGAGCCCTTGGTCTTGGTGCTTGGAGAGCTGGTTAGGAAAAAAAACATTGTTGGAATACTTTGTTGTCATGTTGTTTCCTTTATGGACTTCGTGGCACCGCAAAAAACCTAAAATTCAAAATTTTACTTCAGGTTACGTAAAATTCTCAAATGGACCCGAGCAAACAATGACAGTGACTTCATTCAGAGCACTGCAGGGGCACAGATATTCAAGCATCTTGCTTCTGTCTGGGCACCCCATTTCAGTGCCACCAGGGGTGAAGAGCTCGAATACTTCGCGGGATCTGAGTGAACGTTCAGGTTCTACCTCCCAGCATTGCTGTGTTTGTGTTTGGTGTGTTCATTTGCCTTCAGGGAAGTGTTCCTTTGCTTTCTCATAACCCAGCACTATTTTTAGAGACCATCTTAATGTGCTCAGTAATGGTTTCAGACCACAAAAGCCATCAGATGGATTCTGGCCCTCCCTAAGGTTTGTTCAGTGTAAGACAGCAGCAGGCTCAGGAAGCAGGAGGGGATGTGGGGCAGCAATCAATGCTTTTCTCCAGGCTCATCTGATGAATCAGCCTTGTACCCTTAGTAAAAAATACAGGGTTTTTTTCCTAATCCAAGTCCCAGGTCCGTGTTCCACAGCAAGGGCTGATCAAGGGACGTTTTCACAACTCACAGGAACTTAGAGATGCAGTGGGAGACACTCAGGGAGTTTTGAGGTCAACCATTTGAAGGAGCTATCTCACTACTGATCACATTAGAGCTGTTTAATATTACAGGCATAAACACTCTGTGATAATTTGTGTAACCCTGAGGAGAAATGGAGACCTTCAGAGGACATTCAATAGTGTTGTTTGCCACATGGCTCACTTGGCTTTCTCAGCTATGACACATCTTTTACTCTTGACAGTGCTTGAACGCTGTGTTTGATTAGTCTAAATAACCCCTTAAATTATTGTATGGACTTTTACAAATCAGTAAAGTTCACACAAACCATGCAAATAAAAACTGAAGGCTAGAAGAAACATGTTCTTGCTGAAGTACATGGGTCCAAACCTGCTGGTTTCTTCCCCCCCTCCCATGAATGTTACAGAAACAATGCAAATATGCCAGCAATTTTCTAGCACAACTGACAAGCAGAACTGTTTGTTATTCAGAGCCTTCACACAACTGTTCATCTTTTGAGACAGCCCAGCTCGAGACAGCAGCTTTCCCATTCACAATCAATACATTTGCACACCCCTCCCTGCTGCGTCCCAAATGCTCAGGGACACATCTCACATCACAGCCCCGACTCTTCCCCGCGCCTTCAGAATTAAAAGCACTTAAAAAAAAATACATTTACAAAAACACTCAGCGTGCACAGACTGGTATCACTGCTGTTTACTCTTTTAAGAAAACTTTCCTGTATGTCCTTTGCCCTCCATGTCATACTTCTTAATTCATTTCCTCTGAAACACATTATTGTCCTGCTTTCTGCACTAAGCAAAATTCCAGGCTCGGCGTTTCAGTCCCACTGATTCCCTTCCCAGAGACCACCCTTTAACCAGTCAAGAAGCACAAAGAGACAAGATTTATATCCAGATCCTGCCTTGCTGATAATTCTCACTGCCCTCTCAGTAACTATATATCTGTGCACACGACAGTGTGACCTAAGACAAGCTGTGCCTTGGTTTACTAATTAAGACATGACTTACTAGCTCAGAAGCCAATGAATTTTCGTTGCCAGAGTCATTTTCTTGTGTACACAAAGCTTTATTATAGCTCACTAAATACCCCATAATTCGGAATGCCTGCAGTCCTTTGCTCCTGTCAACATCCATGAACTCTGTGTGTGAGGAGCAGCACCAAATTTGAACCCCACACTACACTTGACTGCTCTTCCCTGACCATCAACCAGCTCAGCTCCAATCTCTGCACAGCCTGCAACAATTCTCCATTGAGAACTTCATAATAAAATACACACACTGAAAAAAAGATCCCATTAACAGAGAACTGAAGGGACAGGACACTGATTGACACACAGTACACACCACAAGGCTGAATTTCTTCAACAAGCAGCACTTACCAAAAGTTATTACAGTATTCTGACTCTGCATTAGAAGTGCCAGAGTTCAGAGAAGTTGACAATTTAATCACTGATACTTCCAAACCCGCAATTTACTATTACCAAATAATAACAGTGTAACTCCAAAGTCAGGAGAAGGACTCTTACACCGGGTCCTGAGCTCGGGTCAGAGGTGCTGTCTCAGCAGGGGCTCAGACAAGGCTTTAATGTGAGGACTCGCCATTCTGGCACTAAGGAAAATAAAATAACATCCACATCTGCCCACATATTTCAGGCAGACAACAGTAGCTACACGAACTCCTGATAAGCTCTCTGAGGTAAAGGCAAATGGCTCAACTCTTGACCCAACCACCATGAAAAATAAATGAGCGTCTATTGTCTCCTGCACAAACCAAAACAAACGCCCACTCGCTGCTCAGAAAAGGCATTATTTTTTAAAAGCCTTGCAATGAGATAAACAAGACACAATAAAAATCAGGGCACCGGCTCCAGCCCAGGGGTGGAACTACAGCCAGAGGACGGGAACCAGCTCTGCCTTGCAGTGTTTGTGGAGGAACCGTCACAACTCGATAAATTCCTCCTCAGCAACAAATGCAAAGTGTCCTAGTCCCACACGTATTCGCATCTCATGCCCCAGTTCTCTCACAGTGTGGAAGAGCTAAAACCAATTTACAACTTTGGCATAAAACCTACGGAATTCAACGGGAAGACTTGATAGACATAAATGTTTAGAGCTCCACGCTTAAAAAAATAAATATCTGAAATAAACAGTAGGTTACTTCATCCTGGCAAAGGGAGAACTCAGTGGATCCTGCAGCCTTTGTTTATGCTCCCAGGAGTCCGAAATGCTGCTCAGGCTCCCAGAGGTGCAGTGCTGGGTGCCACCAGGAAAGGCAGATCACGCACAAAGAGCTGTACACTGCTATTGAGGACAGGCAAATTATCTCCATTTCGACTTTAAGAAACACAACTGAGCAAACCTGCATTGAAACATGACATCATCCCCCTCTTTGGGCAGCAAATGCTGTTTCCACCAGAGGATATCAGTTGCCTCAGTAACATCGTTATGAGGTTTTCCTCTCTGAAGTCATACTGCAGTTTCCTCTCTTCACTCAGTGCAGCATTTTCTGATTTTGTTTTCCTTCTAAGAAGCACATTTATAACAGAAAGTGTCCAAAGTTTAGGCTGAGTCTCTATTCAGCCTACAAGCACCTTTGCTCAAGGAGAGGTGATGTTGCATTTGTTCTGTGAGAGCCCTCACACCTCCAGCAGTATGAGAGGTGTTAGTCAGCAGTTTTACTTCTCTTCATTAACAGCCTCAGCAGGAAGCAAGAGGCACATGTGAAACCCTTTGGATACTTTCCTTTCACACAAAAGTCAAAGCTCAGAGTAAAACAAAGGACTTCTTAAAATAGAAAGTTGAGAATAAATTGCTTAGACTGAAAAAACAGCACTAGGATTGCAAGTGCTGAAAGCAGATCAATTTACTTAGAGGCACTTACACCCCAAATATCTGTCAGAGTTAAATTGTCATGTAGTCTTCTAGGTCGCATTAAAATTCTCTTCAAAATGTTTTTACTGCTGGCATTTTCCCTTCTAATTTCAGCAATCTTTCTATCCCAAACATCTCTGTTCTCATTACCCAGAACATTTAGGTGTGATTACAGCAAGAGATCGTTATCGTGTTTTATTTGGTTAAGGCCTTAAAAATTAAATACAGGTGTTTTCAATTAACAGCCATCAAATTTAGCTCTCCCATCCCATTTTCTGTCACTCCAAAGGCTGAGGACACCTATCTGAGAAAAATATGTAGGAGAACCATGAAGCAGGACTTTTTAAAAGCCTTATAAATCTTATAAATGAAAGCTGACATGTCATACAAGAAAAAAAAACCAAGATCAAACCTTTGAGCATGGAAAATGAGCAGAATTATGAAAGGAAACGTTATCACCTCATCCCTCATTCCTTCAGCTGTGCCTGTGGACCAAAGGCTGAGGTAACTTCCCGCACACCTCGTGACAGCTTAAAACATGCATGAGGCCCAAATGATTAATGCATGAGCACATCCTGCAAAGCTGCACATCCTGTTCCTGACGCACTGCAACGCTGGGCTGCAACTGCTGGGACCGGGCTGAGGAGCTGTCAGGAACCTGCCAACACCCTAATGCACCCCCCCACACCTCTGGGGACAGTGCAGAGCCTGGCAGAGGGGACACGGCACCACAGAACCCGGCACTGCCCTGCGGGCACCAAGAGAGGCCAGCCCAGGCCAAGGGAGCTGGGACAGGCTTGTCCTGAGCCTGGAAATTCTGGTTGCGGAGCTAAAATACATTGTTTTTATTCAAAAGGCGTTTGTGTTTGCTGTTTGTCGCTCAGGGTCACCAACACTTCACTCCTGCTGCTCACACAACACTCCTCAGGTACCACAGTAAGGTTGGAAGTGCCCTGCAAACTCATCACACAGATGGGCAGTCAAACATCTCTTAGCTAGATACACTCCAAATCTTAAAACAAACTAGGGTCCAAGGGGACATTGAATACTTACTACGTGATTTTGGGATAAGAACCCAAAATATGGTCCTTTTGTATTTCTCATCAGAGTTGAGGGCCACGTTTCCAGGCCACTTTCTGACTCAGGTTGTCACAGTTTCCCCACTCCTCACCCCAGATGCAGAAGATCAGGATTTCCATGCCCTGCACTCAGCTGGCAGGTTCAGGCAGACACAGAACACGCAAACTAAGATTCACACATTACTTGCACAGCAATAGCCAGTGCCAATGGCCAGCACTTGGACCACTTCCATTTTACCTGCTCCCCACAAAATCAAACCCCCAAACACCCAGGAGGATTCAGCCTTGCTGTGAAGACCAAGCATTTCCCTGAAGTTGAAAGCCTCTTCCTCGCAGCAGAGCTGTCAAGAGCTTTACCACTGACCAAGGTCAGATGAAGGCCAGAGTTAAACCTCAAGTTTGCATCAGATTGTATAAATATGGAAAAAGAGAAGTTTGACAAGGTACTGGTGAGAGGAGTTGTCAAACCAAAGAGGACTTGCTGTAAAAGTGATTATATAAAGTGTAGGACAGGCAGAGCTGTGATTAAAGTCAATAAACAGCCTCCCAGAGCAGCAGCTGCCCTCTCCAGCACCTTGTGGCCCGAGTCCAAACTGTAGACAGATGAAATATGCTGCACAAAGGATGCCAGTCAGCTCAGGATTAAAGTAACAACTGCTCTCACTGCACTGTTGGCAACATGGGCCTTGACAAGGTACTTGGACAACAGAAAAACCCAAAACCCCACCGTGCTGGGAACAGAAAAACCATATCTTCACCCGGCTGTGAGTTTGAAAAATACACACTTAAAACCTTAGATCACCTTTCTACTGCTCGGTGATGGACTGAGGAACATCGTGGTGCTTTTAGGAGGTCTGGTTCCACACTTCATGCTTACAGTAAGGTCAGTTTTAAACAGAAAATGGAGAAGGAATACAGTATTTAATGGAAGTTGTGTAAGGCCGACTTCAGTGATTGCTGTGTTACACATCTTCACATACTTGTCACGCACTCACCTTATTAATCATTTTAAAATCAAAGAGAGAAGTCTCTACACTTACCACTTCGGGCCTGGGAGAAGAGTTTTCCACTAGGACACTAATTTCCTTCATGGAAACAGCTCAAAGCATATGGGGGAAACAAAAGGAGCAGGCTACAGAAATTCTGCTAAGTCTACAAAGAGTTGTTTCTGCAGCAGTGAACTTTGCAACCATTTGACTTTCAGAATAACAAAATACTTACATTGTGACTATCCTAAGAATAGAAATTAATCCCAATCAGTGAGGATACGCAGCTCTTAAAAGCTTGGCATGTTTATTGGAAAACTTTCTAAAAGGCAGCAATAACAACAGCAAAGAAACCCCTTCAGATCTTCCTTAATTTTTAATTTGTTATAGTTAAAAATATGCAAACTCCAGGCTTTGAAAAGCTTTAGGAGCTATCAGATTCATTTCTATTGACCCTACTCTTCACCTGGGGTCTTCTCCAAAGCTTATGGAAAAGGATATAAGAAGCCTTCAATCAATAGACAGGAAATTCTAAAATCTTTAAAGCTAGAGGAAGGTAGAAAGGAAACTGGAGACATCCAGCTCCACTCTGCTGACTCAGATACGGGCAGGACACAGAACATAATGCAATTCCTCCCTGATGCAAACAGAAACCCATCTGGGGACAAACAGTTTACATCTACCAACCACAGAGCAGGGCTGGGGCCAGGAGCTGCTCCTTGGTGTCTTGCACCAGCACTCAAAATGCACTTTTCCCCTACTTTTTCAACCTAGCCAACACGTGCTGGATGGACAAACAGGGCTACTCCAATTAAATCACTTGCTAAAGGAACAATGCTGACACCAGGCTCGTTACCTTTCGTTTCACATCAATGAAATGAAACATTTCATCGCTCCTCCTCCTGAAATAGCACTGGAACTACCTTAGGAATTTTCAAAGAGAGCTTTCACCGGAAGCATTGACCCACCATTCATTCCGTTGTAAATACTCCTGTGGTGAGGGGACAGGTCCTCTGTCACTTGTCTCCTGAGGGTCCCTTCCCTGCTGCCTCCGCTGAGGTGTTTGAGGTGCTCGGGGCTGCCTCCATAGTGCTGTTTGAGGTGCTCTGGGCTGGTGCCCCTCACCTTGTGCAGGTGTTCCGTACTCCCGCTCGGCGTGTGCTTCTGCAGGTGGTCTGGGCTGCCACCGCTGTGCTTTTGGTGCTCAGGGCTGCCACCAGGCCTCTGCTTTGGAAAGTGTTCGGGGCTACTACTCAGCACGTGCTTTGGGATAGTTTCTGGGCTGCTGCTGCTGTGCTTTTGTTGGTCGGGGACTTTGACCACGGCTTTGTGGTGCTCGGGGCTCGGCCCTTTCAGGTGGTGGTCAGGGCTGCCGGAGCCGCGCGGCTTCTGCAGGTGCTCGGGGCTGATGCTCCGGTGCTTCTGGTGCTCGGGGCTGCCTTCCCCCCGAGCCTTCTGCAGGTGCTCGGGGCTGGTGCTGGGGTGGTGTTTGTGGTGGTCGGGGCTGTCTGTGCTGCCCGTGCTGGAGGTGCTGCTGCCGTCCCCCACGTCTCGGATGTAGGCGCTGGGCGCCGTCAGCTGGCACAGGCTGAGCTGGCTGTCGATGGAGCTCCGGCTCCCGGCCCCGCCGCCCTTCTCCTCATCCAGCAGCACACACAGCTCCTTCAGCTCCAGGTTCTCCTTGACCACCTCTTCCTGTCTCACCTCCAGTTCCTTCAGCTTCTGCAGGTACAGGGCCACCTCTTTGTGCATCACGCTGGCGCTGTACCTGCCCAGCCGCTGCCACTCCCGGGACACCTTCTTGCCCTTCTGTCGGTCGTCGTCCAGGAAGCAGCACAGGTCCCTCAGCTCCTGGTTATCCTCTTGCAGCTTCTGGTTGATATCCTTCAAGAGAAAGATTATCATGGCAGAGAAGTGTCTAAAGGAATTGGTGTTATACAATCACCCTTACACAAGCCACAAAATCATATTTAAGCACTCAAGCGAGGCATAAATAATTGCTTGTGTAGATCTGGCACATTGTAACAGCACAGTGCTTCAAACAGAGCTGCTGTCCAGCCAAAGCTGACCTGGAGCTAGTCTGAGGTGTTCAAACACTAACTTCTGACACAGCATAAAAGTTTCAGGTGCTTAATTAATTTTCACGCTAAATATCAGAGTAATTTAGCTCCCAACCTGGGCAAAGCTCGTAAGTGCTCTCCTGATGATCTCACTCCCCAGAGAAATATTCACCTGAATAAAACTGCAAGGTACATCAGAACTTGTACTCTCACTTAAATAATTAATTATTACACATCTAGACTCCCTATTCCCCAAAGCATAGTCACATATAAAGATGAACATTTTAGAGATTTAAAAAAAAAAAGGGGGTTGTTTGATGTTGTTCCAGATTTGCATTAAAAACTCTTGTCAGACATCACTTTATCGAGATTGCTTCAGCCACTCTGAAATTAAATAATCTGCTTTAATAGATTTTTCCCTCCTAATAAAATGCAGTACATGATTCCATGCCCTCCTCTGAGCGAGGAACAGTCTGAGGCAAATGCTCTGAAGAAAAATGTTCAGGGTGTTACTGTAGCAGAATAATGCCAAAGAAAACATTTGCAGTATTTTACCCGCCTAGTTTGGACTTGTGACCATATTTCTCTTTCCCCCAGCTCCATAGTCATTCCTTCTTATGTATGATATCACAAATAGAGATTAGCCACAATTGTTAAAGGCTTGGCCTTATGGAAAGACCATTTTAGCACTGTTTCCAAAGAAAAGGAAGCTTTTGTAACCCCACTGGATTTGGATGCAGGAATGCCTGGGTTTGTCTGATCTTTGCCTCAGAATAACTCTGAACTTGACCAATTTCAACCTGTATTTGACAATGGAAAAAAAGGCTACAAGGTGTCCTTAAAAATCTCTGCTGGTGAGAGATATTTGAAGTGATCCCACGGTGGAATAAAAAAGTTGTGGAAGTGCAGAATTCCTCAGCCAGAAGGCAGCCTTCCAGCTGGGCACTCTGACTCAGGGACCTGGTATTTCACACACAACAAAGGAGGGAGATGTCCAGACACCAGCACAGGGCTCACAACCTCCTTCTCCCAGATTCTGTTGAAAAGTTCCAGATGGGGCATCTGAACAAAAGGAGGAAGTTAAACATGACTTAAGGAGTTCAGAATTGAGAGGGGAATGTGTCACTGCTTCCTACACATCTCGGTGTGTTTGGTCAGTTATCCGGAGGATGCAGAAATCCATATGATGTCACAGCACTGGGAGAAAGACACTATTGTTGGAATTGAACTTACATTTGAAACCTAAGCTTTATTCTTACTAAATACTATCATGGATGGGTCTTTTTTACCCCCAGACACCACGGATGGTCAAAAAGAGAGAAGAGACACACCCCCCCATACTCTGCAGAACACAAAAACTTGGGAGACAGGAAGAGTCTTCCCCCACATGCTGTTTATTTTATGCCACACTATGATCAAAGACACTTTCTCAGTAATTCCATCATTTAAAGCCATTCTACAAGTGAAGAACTCTCTTCTAATGCACTTCTGTGTAATAATTCAAAAGCCCACACTGCATCTGTCTCTCCTCTCCTTCCCTCCAATCTCACTGAAAGAATTCCCTAAAAACAATGTCCTTTCTCAAAAGCAACAAGACAGAAAAATGTTCGTGGTCCTGCCAGCTTTAAGGTAACTTTCCAGGTCTACAATGCACAAGCAAGGTAATCCTCTGTAAGCAGTCACACTATCTTCCCAATCCTCAGAAGTGGGAAGGAAACATTAGGACTAAGCTTCTCACCCAACCAAGGAGTGAAATTTAGAAGGGATAAGCCATTACAGACCTGGTCTGACTTGTGATGTGCAGCCTGCACAAGGATACAATTGAAAATGGTTAGTCAGAGATGCATTAGCAGATGCCTTTTTCAGACAACAAACTAGGGATTGGTTCTGATCACTCCAAAACGGAGCCCAGGGGTTTGCCATCACCTGCCATACCCTGCGCTGCATCCTGGAAATGACCCGCTCCCTCCAGCAGCCTGCCTGCCTGACAGACTAAGGCAGCTGAAACTGGGGACAAAAAACCTTTTAAACACCTACAGCTCTGCACACCCTTATTTCTCGTGCACTTCAGGCAGGATCATTGAACTCCAAACCAATGGAGTCTAACACAGAGGTGACCAGACTTCAGTGCTTGTACCAAACCAAAGAACACTGGGGCAGAGCACACCCCAGCTGTGCTGCACATCCTGCCGAATAGCTGCTCATCTCTTAGCCGGACACTCGATTTTTAAGCAGCATCAAAGGCTATTCACTCCAGCCCTCGTCTACTTTTTCCTGCGGTTCTCGGGAGCGGCTCCTCCCGGAGCATCCACCTGACGAGACCGCTGCCGGCGGGACGGGCGGGGGGCCGCGGCGACACGGCACAAACTCCAGGGGTCCCACCCTGCCCACCCCGCTCTACCTTCAAGCCGCGGATCTCGCCGAGGTGGAGCTGGAGGCGGCGGTTCACCTCGCGGATGAGGTTGCTGTGGTCCAGCATCGCGCTCATCTTCTCGGCCTCGGCGCGGCGGAGGCTGCGGATCAGCTCCTCCTTGCTCCACTTGAGCAGCTCCTCGTCCGACACCTTGGACAAGTCCTCGGCCGGCGCCGACCCGCAACTTTCCGCCGCCACTTTTGCCATGGTGGCGGCGCGGGGGCAGCCGCGGAGCCTCCCCGCGCTGCCGGGGCCGCCCCTCCGCCGCCGCCGGGGCAAAGGGCGAGCCCGGAGCCCGCGGGTGCCCCCGGCTCCAGCGCGGGGAGACCGCTTCTGGCCCCGCGCAGCGGATCCTGGAAAACAGGAGGAAGACGAGGAGGAAAGGGTGTGGAGGAAGCCGGGCCACGGTCTGGGGAGCAAACTTCCCCCGTCGAGATGGGAAAAAAACAGAAAGAAGCCCCGAGACAAAGGATCCCCAAGACACGCGCGGTTCTTTCAACAGGTCAGCGCCAGCCGCGAGCGGCCGGTGCCCGCGGCGGGGATGCGCGGGGCCGGCTCTCAGCGGCCGCGGGCTGCGGGCGGCGGGGCGGGTGGCGAGGCGCGGATGCCGCGCCCCGTGGCGGCGGGGGAGCGGGAGCGGCAGGAGCGGGAGGGATCGGAGCGGCTCGGGCGCTGTGGGCGGCAGTGCCGGGCGCGGGGCCGCTCGCGGCTTTTCAGCGGGGCCGCGCCACGTGCGGGGGGGCGGTGCGGGAGCGGGCACGGGCGGATCGCGGGCTCCACCTGCCGCCCGCCGCCCGCCAGCGCCGCGGGACCGCCCCGCGGCGGGGACACACCTGCGGGACACCGCGGCACCCGCACACATCCTGCACTGCGAGCTGCTCAGGGACCGCCCCGCGGCGGGGACACACCTGCGGGACACCGCGGCACCCGCACACATCCTGCACTGCGAGCTGCTCAGGGACCGCCCCGCGGCGGGGACACACCTGCGGGACACCGCGGCACCCGCACACATCCTGCACTGCGAGCTGCTCAGGGACCGCCCCGCACCGCGGACACACCCGCGGGACACCGCGGCACCCGCACACATCCTGCACTGGGAGCTGCTCAGGGACCGCCCCGCGGCGGGGACACACCCGCGGGACACCGCGGCACCCGCACACATCCCGCACGGGGAGCGCTCAGGGACCGCCCCGCACCGCGGGGCCCAGGGAGGGCGCAGCCGCCCGCGGAGCAGCGCGGTCCGCCCGCCGGGCCGGTCTCCACAGCTCACATTACATCACCGCCCGCCGGCACCGCCTCGGCACTCACAGCCGCACCCCGCGCCTCGGCGCGGCTCCCGCACTCCCAGCCCAGCACCGCTCCCCGGCGCGGCTCCCCGCTCCAGATGGAGGTCGCATGCCATGAGATGAGCCCCCCGCGGGAACTAGGACTGGGCTATTAATAGCCCTTCCTTAGGAATACTCGGCCGCGTGGTAGCGAGAGACTCACGTTCCCCAGTTTGCTTAGAGATACAAAGGCTCTGCATAAATCTGCCTTGCAGATGATTTGAGAATGAAACTTGATAATCCGTTCATGCTGCTCGCAAAGAAAGATGACACGACGGATCTCAGTGGCAGGAGTGATGAACCAAGACTACGAGGTGAGTAATTGGTTGAATCCCCGTTTCTCAATCACCGAGTTCCCCTGAACAATCCCCTGAGGGCACAGGAGCTGCCTCGCCTAATGGGCCCTTGCTACCTCCGACTTTGCAATTTTATAAGTACGTGGGATTAAAGAAGATGTCTCATTCTTGAGAGGAAAAATTAAAGTACTTAATGCCAGCGCTGGCAGATCACTAGGCTGTAGCCCCACGAGCAGGGCTGGCTCTGCAGAGGCAGCTGCACAACCTGTGCCCTACCTGTCCCACGTCACTGTCCCAGCCAGCACTTCCCTGGCAATGCTACAGGACCAGACTAGCCAAGGATTACCTTCTGCTCTTAGTCCAATTTAAGAGTTGCCAAAGAATGGTTAAATCAAACACTGCTCCTTTGTTCTTATTGCTAATCCTTTCCTTCAGCTGCCAGCTGTCCCTCGATCACAACAAAAGTTCTCCTGCTCCTTTCCATCGTGGGCCACGCTTTGCCTTTTCCCCACCCAAACAGCATTCAGAGACGTTCTTTCAGCTGATCCATCTCCCAAGTATCTCCAGCCTCCCATGGTTCCATCCAGCTGGGTCCCAGGATGACCCAGCCAGGGCAGCCCTGCTGTTCCCCTGCCAAAGTCCTGGCGTGGGAATCACACCTGAGCTGCTCCCACAAGTCCAGGCTCTACTCGGGACCCACCACACCCACTCCAAAGAGTCCCTGTGACACAGCGGGAAGCACAGAAGGGTGGGAATGTTGGCTGAGCTGTGGGATGAACCCCAAATCCCACCACTGCCAACAAGAGCTCCAACAAAGCGCGGAGCTTTGCCAGCGTGAAATCCCATTTCCCGACCAGCCCCAAGTACTGTGTGAAAATTTTATTTTCTCTGAAAACTCTATCACTCTCTTAAATCCGCTGGAATTTTTTTCCACCGCAAAGAACAAAGCTTTAGATAAAAGCATCTGACCAGCCACAGCAAAAATACAGTAAAAGGCCATGATAAAGGAGCTGTCAGCTTTCATACCCAAATATATTCTATTTAAATGCAACTAAAAAAGAACAGCTAGGGGAAAAGGCAGCAATAAATTAAGGCTTTTCTTCTTCTAATTCAGTTGAAAGGTCATATGATGTTAGGTTTTTACAAGTTCTAATTAATTTCTTTCCATGAAATAAACAATTAACTGAAAACTGACCAGAAACTTTTAAATCGAAATGCTTCAGGAAAAAGTGTCCATTTGCCTCAACACCACCAGTGTTTCTCCAGAGCAGCATTTCATAGCCTTTGATCGTGGCGTGCCATGGAAAGCACGGATGTGAGATGAACGGCTCCACAAATGGGAAACACCTCCACGTCTGTGTCCTCGGGAGGCACAGCTTTACTGCCCAGGCACCGGCAGGAAAGGGCAGTTCACCAGGCATGGCCACTGGGAACGGTTTAACAAAGCCAAACTTCAGAAGCCGGGGACAAACGGAGCTCTAATAACGGAACCAAGAACGGATCAAGTGGAACTGAGGTGGAACGTTTCTATAAGGAGAGGATCTAATTTCACATTCGCTCACGCTTGTGTAACGAGATCAAAACGAGAGTGGGAAGTGCTACATAATTATTCCCAGCTCCTGGCAAGCTTAAAACTTTACTTTCAGACAGTCCACCTCAGTGCTCAAATGCCAAGTACTTCCCAGCTCCTGGGCTGTCACCATCAGCGGTGAGGACAACAACTGCCCCAAAACAAACACTTCCATTTGCACGTTTGCTGGTTTGCCAGCTCAGTAACGCTGTCACTGCTGTGTCACGTTGTCACTGCTGTGTCACGTTGTCACTGCTGTGTCCTGCTCACCCCCCACATCCAAATGTGCACCAGCTGTTGCTGGACAGTTCTCCTGCACGTCCTTGCGGACTTGCTTTTCACTGCTGCTCGCCTTGCTCACAGTCTCCGAGGGCTGGGCGGGGTCTCTAAGCATTATTATAACCAATAATAGTTATATGATGATTTGAAAAACACTTTTGGACACTTCCAACAAGGCCCTAAAGCTGTTCAATATCTCCCTGCCAAAAATGTGTCAGAGCTGAGTACTTTCCTAGCAGTCATTTTACACAAAGATGGCTAAACTGTTTTTGTTCAGACCTTCCAAAAATACTTTTGAGAAGAGTTCAGACTTGAAAAATGTCATTCCCAAATTGGAAGGAAGTGGAAGGAGTTTAAAAATGAAAAGTTCAAGTAATTTTAGTTACAGTTGCTTCTAGATGTTCTACCCATCATTTGTGTGTCCGTAGCTGACACCCAACACAGCATCACCCACATTGGCTGCTGTCTAATCCCAGTTGTGCTGATTTCCCAGGGAAAGGGGTAGAGCTTCCCCTGCAATGTTCCCCAGCTCTTTCACCATCACAGGATTCATTTTCCAACCCTGACTGCCACTCCTGCAGTCACTGTCCCAGCACAAATTACACCAATGCATTCACAGAGGAACATTTTACAATTCAATATTGGACTTTTCCTAATGGAGTCTCACACAGTGTTCACAGAGTGTCAGTACATAGAAAAATTAACAGACTGATACTTCCAGTGCACAAGGGATATTATGGATAATTCCATCCAGCTAAAGCTGGACAGAAGCAAAATCCTTCAGTGCAGACACCTTCGTATCCAAAACATTTACAGATGGAATCCTCACCTTTTGCTCCTGACTTGAGCACAGGTAAGTAAACAGAGAACTTGGAACAAACCCAACTAGCCAACAGGCTAGTTTTCTTATCCCACTAACACTTCGGAGAGAGAAAAAAATTCCACATATTTCCAACCCTGAGAAAACGTAAAGGAAAACTAGAAAAAATGTTTTCAAATGAACAATCTGGAGAGGAGGAAAAAAAAAAGGTCATCTTGGATTAGTCATTGGGCTTTTTAAAACTTCAGACAGTTGTATGTCCCACCTCCAGGACAAACCTGGGATCCCCAAGTCATGGATTACTCCCAGGGGGTGTAAATGAACATGTTTCATAAGTGCCCAAGGTTAAACAAGGGGGGAGATGGCTGGTCCTCAGAGACAAAACGAAATATGGAAACAGGCACCTCTCCAGCTGAGCAGAAAACATTCCCAAAGCAACGACTTAGAGGCATCCATAGAAAAAACACCAACAGAGCTTGAAGCATTTACAACATACTTAGGAAGCACAAGCATTGGAATGAGATTAAGGCAGGATAAATCCTCGGCAAAGAATTTAAAAGGTTTGGAAGTTAAGCAATACCATGCCAGGAAGAAAGGCACCACTGCCTGCAAGCAGCAACCCAGGAAAACGCCTCACCCTGATGGATGCTGGACACTTCCCATGAGCTTCTGGAACTCCTCCCTAGGACTCTTCTTCATCCACTCTTCTATCATTTCCCTGAACCTATGAGATTTTTTTTCTGTGAAAAGACTGCTGAACCTGCCTCTTCAGTGGCATTATTGATATTTGTTAATAAACCCTTTTTACGAAAAAGAGATTGCTCATTGCATTTTTTATAAAGATATGTGTGCTTAAATAAAACTAATCTACAACAAGAGTACATGGGACAGATCTCCAATGGTTTGTAACTGTTTTT